AAAGGTCCTGCTGAAAACGAAATAAGCCGGTTTTGAACCAGCAGAAAATGGGACTGAGTTGTTCTGTATATATATATATATATATATATATATATATATATTGGACAATAAAAAAAATTAAAATCTTTAGACACACTGGGTTGTAGATTAATATTCTTTCGTTTTTTTATTATTATTCCATTTAGATTCCTCGACTAGTTTCGACCAAAATGGCCATCATCACGTTGTTTGTTTTTGACTTTATCGACTGCACAATATAGTAGGGTCAGTTGGGCACCGTCTGTGTGAAAAAGAAAACCATGACGCAATTCATCCCGCCAGAAATTTGGAAACAGCATGCTGTACCATTTGCAATTCGCGACGGAAACTCCAATAAGAACATTTCAGAATCTTTGGGTAACAATGCCAGGACAGTGCAGATGATTCGGAAAGAGTTAGATGAATCTAATGATGATTATGAAGGTACGGAAGTTCAGAAAACTCCCTCTGATCGTTTTGATAAGAACTCTCGAAGTTGTTGGTGAGGGCCTCAGAACCAACACAGAGGTATACATCAAGTATTCTGTGTCAAGAGGGGAAATACCAAGAATTCCTTTAAAAGTAGGTGTCATCAACAGGTATTATTTTTCACCAATAATGCGTACAAACATATCACGCCCATTTCAAATTATTTTTGGAATTTAAAAGAAGTTAAATAAAACCTACAGTATAATGGAAAATACAAAAAAATCTAGAACCTGTAAATCATTCAATGAACATTGATCCTTTTGCTTACATGAAAAATTAGAAATTATCCGATTTGCTGACAAAATATCTCTGCTAAATGGAAGAAGTGAATTAACTGTAAATTGCCGACACAGTTTAACTTTTACCTTAAAATAGTTATTTTTTTCAATGAGGTAATTCCACTTCTTATGGTCATATTTTATAAGTAAATAATGGTCCACACTCTACAAGTAATAATCTTAATTTGTTTATTCAGATTTAGTATTGCCATGTATTGCTGTCCAGTTAGTATTATTTATATTTTATATTGATGTTACACATTTTTAATGTTATCTACAGGTTCCTTTAAGAGGCTTCCTGAATCTGAAAAGTTAAAAAAAAAACATTCTGTTGAAATTAACTTTACGTCTAATTATCCTCCTTCTCTCCCACCCCCAGCGTCCTTTGAAAAGTTGAACATGTCGTATTTGTCTGCAGTCAAAATACATTTGTTGCTTATATGCTTTCCGTAAGTGTCAATGATGACCTGTCTAAGTTCCGGTTTATCTTGTCATGAAAAAAAAATAACTTCACCACCTCCACCCTCAGAACTTAATTGTCTATTTCGGTTAGATCTGGCATTTAATTGGTTTTTCGAGACAAAAGCACAAGTCTATTTTTAATTCTGACCATGTATTTTCGTATCCCTCCTTTATCTTTCGAGGTAACGTTTTGCTTTTTAAAAAAATATTTAATCACCAGTCACTTACCATTCGCCTGAAGATGTGCAACGTAGTACCGAAACACGAGAGCTATTGTGTAGCGATATCAACATGTTCTTGTTTTAATATCGAAAATAAAATTATATATATATATATATATACATATATATATCAGATCATCCCATTAGTTCTGTCCGAATTTTGAATAAAGAAAACAAGTGACCAAATGTTATGTTTAATGACAGATTCAAACAACAATGTATTTTCCCTGATTATCTATGACTTCCTTCCATCTATTAACAAGCTTACTAATTCCATTACTGTAAAATTCTTTTGGCTTTGATTCGAAGAACTCACAAATGTCAGTTTTAACCTCTTCCTGTGTTACAAAAGCTGTTTCTTCCAAATGATTCTGTAAGCTACGAAACAAATGGTAGTCTGAAGGAGCAAGATCGGGAGAATAAGGTGGGTGAGGAATTTTCTCCCAACCAAGTTCTTCGATCTTTTGTGACGTGATTCTTCCTGTGTGGTGTCGCGTATTGTCCTGATGAAACATCATCTCTTTTTGATTCACTAGAGCAGGTCTTTTTTTTCCTCAAAGCTTAGTTCAAACGCTGTAATTACTGACAGTATATTTGAGCATTAATTGTTGCATTAGGTGGTAAGAATTCAAAGTGGATTATTCCTTGGAGATCCCACCAGATTGAAAGAAGAACCTTTTGCCCATGAAGTTCCTTTCTCGGCTGTGGCTGGGGTCCTTCCCCTTTACCAAGCCACTGTCTACGACGCTTAACATTTCGATAAAAGATTCATTTTTCATCGCCAGTCACAAGTCTATCCCAAAAAGGTGAAACGAGTTGGCGAGAATGGAGAGAAGAGCAGATGTCAACTCGGGATTTGAGGTTGTTTTCAGACAATTCATGAGGCACCCATTTTCCAAGTTTAGGAACTTTTCCAAGTTGTTGAAGATGACGATGAACAGTTGTATAGTTTGAACTGAGAACCACTGCCAATTCCTCAACTGATAAAGCAGGATTTTCTTCAAGGGCTGCTTCAAGAAGCTTTTCATCAGACTCAACTGGATGTCCGGTTCGATCTTCATCTTCAAGGGTGAAATCTCCACCTCTGAATTTTGCAAACCATCTTCTGCAAGTTCTTTCATTCACACATTCCTCTCCATAAACTGAGTGAATGTTTCTAGCCGTTTCGGCTGCTGAGTTTCCTTTCTTGAACTCATAAAGCATTATGTGCCTCAAATGATTCTTGGGTACTTCCATGTTAGCAGGGTTTTAATCAAACAAAATTTAATTTTATTGTTCTCTGAAATATAATTTGATCAGTTTAAATGCATCTAAACATAAAAATAATGTTAGCTCCATTAGACATTATAAACAAAACAAAATGTCATCCATGTCACATTCCACTGATAAAAAAAAAAGAAATTACATAGATAAAGCCCTTCGTAAAGTGTGGGCAGTACTTATCAGAACAATTTTTTGTATCTCCTTGAGACATGGACTTCCAGGAATCCCTTCAATTAGTCTACTGCAATCTTTCCCAACCAGTCCTGGGGCTCCAACTACAACGGGGATTGTTGATGTTCCCATATGCCACATTTTTTAAATTTCTATTTTAAGGTCTTGTTATTATTATTATTATTATTATTATTATTATTATTATTATTATTATTATTATTATTATTATTATACTTGGAACTAAGAAAATATAGAATCAAATGATGTTGAGTCACAAGTTCCGGAAAGAAAAATATTGATCGGTATTTTTATGTCCACAATTCATCTTCGGATATTGTTTATAGAATTTTGCTGTTAGCATTCAGTTTTGGGGCTTCGTTTTTCTGTCTTTCAAAATACAACGACAAAGTCTCTGCTCTAGATATGAAATTAAAACTTTTCCTGGTCCTAAAAAAAAAACAAAACATAATTTGAAGTTATTCTTTTACTTCTTGTTATTCCTGAATACGAATATTTGGCGTTACCAAAAGTTAAATGGATTTGCCGGTGTGCGTCTTGGAAAAGGATTAGTTCAGAGATATTTTTGTCTTTTGTCGGCACCAGAAACTTTCTGCAATGCAAATTCGAAAATTTAATTTCTGTGAGAATTATTCTTCTCTGTACAGATTTATTATTCTAGGAATAGTAACTTTCGGAATGGCCAAGTGAAAATTTATTTTTCTCAAATCCCGAAAGATTTGATAGCAGTTCGCCACAGCCAAAATTCTGCGAGTTGGAATATATGCATTCCATTTTAGACTGAGAGGTTTTTACGAATGAGCTGACTGCTGTGATGAGATAAATCAATTTAAATTTTGTGTGTATGAACTTTTTATTCAATATGCATGTATTTTAATCTCCGATTGCCAAGAGTCCAATTTTACCGTTATGTCGCAATTTATACAAACCAGGACATCTATCTATCTATCTATCTATCTATCTATCTATCTATCTATCTATCTATCTAATCTATCTATCTATCTATCTATCTATCTATCTATCTAACCGAACCCAATCTCTTCATAATCTATCTATCTATCTATCTATCTATCTATCTATCTATCTATCTATCTATCTATCTAACCGAACCCAACTCTTCAAATCTCTATCTTCATAATCTATCTATCTATAACTATCTATCTATCTATCTATCTATCTATCCTATCTAACCAGAACCCAATCTCTTCAAATCTTTTCTATCTATCTATCTATCTATCTATCTATCTATCTATCATCTATCATCTCTTCATCTATCTATCTATCTATCTATCTATCTATCTATCTATCTATCTATCCGAACCCAATCCCAAATCTATTCTTCATCTATCT